ACTTTCCCCTATTCATCCTGTTAAAAACAGAGAAAAACCTAGGTCATTATATATAAAACCCACATAAGAAGACTCTGAAAGGTAGAGAGAACAAACCAAATCATCTAGGAACTTTGAGACATAAGAAATGACGTGGTAATGAGTTCCTTGGGTTTACTTTTTGTCCTATATATCCGAGACTGAGTGCTGGAGAAGCAGGCACCCAGAAATACCAATAGGTGCAGGAAAAAAAAAAAAAGAACAAGCTCCCCCCCCCCCCAGAAGCCTGTCTCTGGATTTTAGATAGTAACCACCCTAACCCAGCTAAACACTAGAGAAAAAGCTATAACCCTGATCGCATCCTTACCTGTGAAAACCTGGTGCGGAGTGTAGACTTGTGCTCTAGCCAGCCACCGCAAGCACTGCCACTTGCCCTGGTGGTGTCAGAGGTTATATTGCGAGTCAGACCTTTCATTCTGGCTGAGGTAGAGAGGTTAGGAGGCTCTTCCACTCAGGGGAGACCACATGGGGACAGTAAAACAGTAAAACGATGCCTCCTCTCAGCCAGGATAGTGTCATAGAAGCCTAGGGGGATCCTGAACTTTCACCCTAATCCAGCAGTAATGAGATACCCCTCACCCCCACCCGTGTCAAAGGAGGCCATTAGGGGACCTGGAACTAATGCCTGCACCTGGTTGTAATGAGGCCTCCCTGTCCTCCACTGACACGGTGTTGGGGGAGGTCTGGAATACAAATAGGATCTTTAGATAAGCTCCCAGAGTCTCATAATAAAATACCCACAATGTCCAGGAGACAACCTCAGATCACTTGCTATTCTGAAAGCCAGGAAAATCTTAACATGAGTGAGAAAAACAATCAATAGATGCCAGCACTGGGATGACACAGAGATTGCAGCTATGTGATGAGGACTGTAACACAGCTGTCATGAAAGTGCTTCAACAGACCCTTATAAGCATTGTTAACGCGATGTGATGAGGACTGTGGTAGAGACCTGTGCAGAGGCCTTTGGAACTGCTTAGGGAAGGGTGGGGGTAGAGGTAGAGGACAGCCACGGAAAGAGCAGCTGACTGGATGCAAGAATTACACATTCTGTGATTCACTGAAGCTGGAACGTGGGAAGCTGAATGCGGAAAAATAAAGCTGAGATGAACGGGGCTCTGCAAGCCATCGGAAGATACACAGTGTTTATTTTTTTTATTTTTATTATTTATTTATTTATTTATTTATTTATTTTTAAGATACACAGTTTCTATTCCGAACTTCATGGAACAGTATTAAATAACTTGGAGCACTATTTGGTATGAGAAGATTTACATGGAGGGAAAACATTCTTTAAAAACTCCTTTTTTTAAAAAAAAAATTGAATATTGCTGACACCCAGTGTTGCATTCGGATCAGGTGTACAACCTAGTGATTGAACTTCTCTATACATTATGCTGTGCTCACTGCCAGCGCAGTGCCATCTGTTACTGTAAAATGCCATTATAGCATCATTAACTCTATTCCCTATGCTGTGCCTTTCATCTTCGTGACTTATTCATTACAAAACTGGGAGCCTGTATCTCCTACTCCCCTTCACCCATTCCCCCACCTCCTTCCCTCTGGCAATCATCAGTTTGTTCTCTGTATTTATGGGTCTGGTTCTCCTTTTTTTGTTCATTTATTCATTTGTTTTCTTTTTTTTTAGGTTACACATATGAGTGAAATCATATGGAAATTGTCTTTCTCAGTCTGATTTATTGAGGAAAAACAATCTAATAGCATGGAGAGATGACTTGAGGGGATGGGCTGAGGCCTGGGGCAGGGAGATTAATTAGGAGGCAGTAATTCAAAAAAAAAAAAAAAGAGGCAGTAATTCTGAACCAGGTTATCAAAGAGACAACTGAACACTTACAGAGCTTAATGTGACGTTACATACGGCCGATTGGATGTGGAGAATGAAGGATCAAATTGAACTCTGGGGTTTCTAATTCAGGTCCTTGTGTGCAAGGTTGTTCCTTGAAATATGGAAAACAGGAGAAGGGGAGGATTTGCATTTGGCATGGGGCAATGGGTTGAGGTGGGGTGAACTGACTATACGTGTTACTCTTTCCAAATAGAGATGTTGTTGGGGAGGAAATTTTTTTTACTCTATCCTTCTAGGTTCCTTTGGCTGATCTGTTAATTAAATTGACATAAAGTGAAATTAACAGGAGGAAAAACCAATTTTGAATGTATGAGAACCTCACACAGACATGAGAGATTCAAAGATAGATCTATTGAGGCTGAGGTGAAGGGAGTAGGGGCCTAGAGCTTCACAAGGAAGGAAAATAACTCACAGGAAGATGGAAAGGCAAATATTTGTTTGCCACACAGAGGCCATGGGACACAGAGAAGAATTTAAACAAATAAGCCCTGCCGAGCCCTCCCCACAGCCTACCATGCCTCACCCATATTCTTTGTAGTTATCTTTGGTAATAGATCTTTTCCTAGACCAGGCCTTCTAACTAAATTCTTAGAGGCAGTTAGGAGGGGAGGTTAAAGGTCTTCCTGAGTCTTTTGGGTGTTGATTGTCTTCTGCTCAAAATAAGCCACATGTCAAAGTAGCATGTTTGGGGAGGCTCATTCTGAAACCCTTCAGTGTCTGGCAGACTGTTGGCTATAAGGGTATGGAGCTCAGAAAGGAGTTCAGGGCTGGAGCTGAAGATGGAAGTTGAAGCCATATGGGTATAAAGATTACCCAGGGAGTGTACGCTGTGTGAGCCAAGGAATGGATATAGGACCTTAGGAATCATGGTCAAAGATTTGACAGAGGAAGAAGATCCCAGGAAAGATGTTGAAAAGGAATAAGTAAAGAGGTAGGAGAACAGTCAGCGAATGACAAAGTGAATTCCTCATGTTCTTTAATATTGAGGGGCTCCTTCTTTTTGCAATGTCATGAGCATAATTAATTATTGGGCACAAAGTGTGGTAGAGTAGAAGTTGTAGATAAAAAGAAAGAGAATAATGACAACTTTGAGAAGTGTTCCCGCAAGCCAGTATTCCAATATTCTGTTTCAGAAACAGAAATAAAAACCAAAAAAATATAAATAAATATTTTTGTGGGAAAATCCTATAAAACATCTTTCCTTATTTCTGCCACAAAATGTTGAGCAAACTATCTTTGTTTCTTGGCATATTAGCTAATTATGACCACAATGCTGCATATCAAGTACTCCTAAAAATGTCCAAATCCTAACATATTCAGCTATTACTTCCGTGTAGCTCTAGGTTGTCATGGGGTCAGATGATCTAGGATGGGCATGACTGGAAGCATGGCTCCAAGACATATATCTGACTGGGTTAGGTTCCCCTCTTCTTTTGGGCTCTACTGCCACCTGCAAATGTCTGCTTTGGGTACCAGGCTGCGGAGGCAGCTGTAGTATCCAGGAAGCTCTTCTGGAGGAAGTAGAGGTGAAGGAGAGCAAGCCAGTTGTGCAAGTGCTTGAAAAAGCCTCTGTTTGAATCATGTCTGCTGATTTACCAAAGCACAGTCCCATGGATGAGCCCAAATCAAGGGAAGTATACTCTACTCATGGAGGGGGGGCAAGGGGAAGAGACAATACTTTTGCACAAACATTGAATTTGTCACACTTGGAGATTAAGAATCTTTACATCAATTACTTTTTGTGCTGTGCTGTCAGGTAGTCATATACAGATTATTGAAGTGTATAGGGTCATGACCCTGATTAAGTGATCCCTCCTCCTGCCGAGTCCTGTGTGTGTAATTTCTTGATGCTGCCACTAAATCTATAGCTGCTTTTAATTCACTGCCTCATTTCCCAACAGGGCTTTTTGAGGGAAGACCTGAAGGTGATACTCAGCTCTCTGACACGACTTTTTCTTCTTGCGTCAATGTTTTTTTCCTGTTACTTTGCATTGTTATAATATTTGCTAGCCTGACACTGGGACAAATAGGCCGTTACTGTACTTGAATATTTTAGTCCCTTCCTCCTAAAAATGTGGCAAGTGCAAAGCTTTTTCTTTTGGAAAAATAAGATATATTTTCCTTAAAAGGTACCTACATCTATCTACATGATGTCTGCATTTTCAAAGGAAGGCATTGATCAGTTAGGAGATGAAAAGCGCTAAATTGGGAAGGTCTTTGAAAAAAAATCTATTAAAATTTTATATGCATGTCCATTCTTTATTCAAATTATGAAACATCTCAAAGATGCAGAACAGAGCTTATTCTTTGTGCAACTGGAAACATCACACTTACTTAAAACAAAAATTACATATATAATGTCTTTTATTTTTTTTAAAGATTTATTTATTTATTTATGATAGACATAGAGAGAGAGAGAGAGAGAGAGAGAGAGAGAGAGGCAGAGACACAGGCAGAGGGAGAAGCAGACTCCATGCCTGGAGCCCGATGTGGGACTCGATCCCAGGACTCCAGGATGGCGCCCTGGGCCAAAGGCAGGCGCCAAACCACTGAGCCACCCAGGGATCCCTATATAATGTCTTTTAAAAAAAGAATTAAATTTTCCAATAAGTTTGTCTTTTCACAGCAGATACCCAGACTGAGTCATACATCTACCATTTGTTCTCTCAGCCTAATGCTTGCTTGGCCTGCACTGCTCTTATATACAGTTCATTTCATCCATGTAACATAGATGATTTTGGTGCTCTATACTTTAGTTTCGTTCTAAGCAATAAAATCCACAAAGTTGTCACCTTGAGCTGTGAGGTCTATTTTCCTAGTGCACACCAAAATAAATACATATTTATTAAGATAAAGATGTCCCTCCTGTACCATCTTAAATATCTACTTTGTAGACATCATTACCTGGCATAGCATGCAAAGGGAAACACTATTTTAAGGGCAGCGATGCCAAACTAGAAATATAGAAACTAGTTACGCTAATTTATAGTTAAATATAGTTAACTAGTATAAGTATAGTTAAATATGGAAACTAGTTAAGAAACTAGTTAATATTTTGGAAAGAATTATTAACCCATACCTTTCAATTTTTCAGGTTTGTGGAAGGAATGCTTAACATTTGTTACAATGCCATCGATCGCCATATTGAAAATGGTCAAGGAGATAAGATTGCTATCATCTATGACAGTCCTGTTACAAATACTAAAGCAACTATTACCTACAAAGAAGTTCTGGAGCAGGTAATATCATAAACTTTCTATATGTGGTATTTGGGAATCATACAGAAGTTACTTAAATAATATGCATTTGCATTGTGAACCTTTATTTCACTTAATTCATTGACATACGTTACTGTGGTTTCCTTTTGATGCACAATGGAAGAACTAGAGGCATGTTAACTCATGTAGATAGTTTTTTTCCCTTATATTTGTATGCTACACTACTGAAAGACACTCATTTTACGGGGAGAGGTTAGCAAGCCTCTAAGAATATGTTTAAATCCTCTCCAGGCCTGTGCTCCCACCTATGCTGCCATCACATTAGTCCAGCTACTTTTCAGCTCTTGTACTAGCGAAGCAGCCTCCCAGCTTCCCCATTAATGGCCTGCCCTCCCATAGGTCACCACCTAACGTGGCATCAGAGTTTTCTCCTTTTTTTTTATATATATTTATGATAGTCATACAGAGAGAGAGAGAGAAAGAGAGAGAGAGAGAGAGGCAGAGACATAGGCAGAGGGAGAAGCAGGCTCCATGCACCGGGAGCCCGATGTGGGATTCGATCCCGGGTCTCCAGGATCACGCCCTGGGCCAAAGGCAGGCGCCAAACCGCTGTGCCACCCAGGGATCCCCAGAGTTTTCTCCTTAAGAAACAACTAGTTAAAAACCTTTTCTTTAAAAATTACTGTTACTTAGAGGGTAAAATCTGGACCCCTGCGGTGTAGAAGCCATTTGGAATGAAGTGTTTCCCCCAACCTCATTTCCAGACATTCTTGGACATGCACACAACTGTTTTTCACCCTGTCATGCCCTCAGGCACATCTGACTCTACGGGTCTTCTTACAGACGGTGCCTTTCTCTTATTTGCTCTTTTTGTTTTGTTTGTTTGTTCTTTCCCATCTGTGTAGTTCTCGAGTGAATCACAATATTGGCAGATGATTTATGAGATTTTCTTTTAACATTAGGGTAGAAATGAGGTTTCAGAAGTAATTATAAAAGTATTTGGGTATTGGGGACTGTGGAACCACCTATTCTAGCTCCATTGGGAGCATTTATTTACATATGGTTTAAAGAGAGATAATAATGTAGGGAAGGGTTTCTACCTTGGTACTATGGACATTTTATTATTTTATTTATTTTATTTTATTTTTTAATATTTATTTTATTTTATTTATTTATTTTAGAGAGAGAGAGTATGAGCAATGGGAGGGGAGAGAGGGAGAGAAGCAGACTCCCCACTGAGCACAGAGTCCAACACGGTGCTTGATCTCACACCCTGAAATCATTACCTGAGCAAAAATCCAGAGTTGGATCCTTAACCGACTCAGCACCCTGGACACTATTGACATTTTAAGCCAGATAATTCTTGTTATGGCATACTGTTATGTACATTGTAGGATGTTTAGCAGCATTCCTGGTCTTTACCCATTAGATGCCAGTAGCTCCCCTCCCACAGTTGTGATGACCAAAAATGTCTCCAAACGTTGCTGAATGTCCCTGGATGGCAAACTAGTTACTAGTTGAGAACTACTGGTTGAGCAGAGTCAGTCATACTAGGGTTTGCAAGCATTTGCTTTTAAATTAAGGCTTTTGGAAGCACATTCTCTTCTTTCTTTTGGTTGAAATACCTACTTAGGGTTGCTACCTGATTTTTAGAAAATTTGGTCAACTTTCCTTGACTCCCTGAAATTATATCCTTTTGCATCAAAAATGTTCCTGTTTAGACTTCCAAGAGATTTCAAAAAAAGGCAACTGGGACCATCCAATGTCTCAATCCTGAGTTGTTGGGAACAATCAAGAGAGAAATTTACACCAGTTTCGCTCAAGCTGGGTATCAGCAGGTGGTATCAATGAATGCCAGCTTCAGCTGATTTAAACATAAGAGGAATTCATGAAAAGGGAAGACTGAAGAACCAGGTTCAGAATAATAATACACCTCCACAGGGAGAAAGGGCAGAGGTAAAAATTTAAGGAGAGCCCACAAATTGTCTGGTAATTAGACTTGCTGACTCAAATTAACCTCGTAGGCTGATATAGGAGGAATACCTAGTTGGCCAGTTTTAGGTTACATGCCTGAAGTACCAGGTGGTGGAAGAAGAAATGTCTTCTCTTCTTTTGATTTCATAGTAGGAACTGGAGCCCTGGCTCCCGGTAGGACTCATAGTGGGGGAATTCCAATCTAGTAAGAAGGGAGTTCAAATGCTAGGCAGCCCAAGACAGAACAAAACAAAATAATGCCACAATTACACTGTTGGGTACTTTGTATAGATCTGTAAGTGTGAACTCTATTTTCAGAATGAATTATACAGAAACAGAGCTCACCCTGAGGCTGCGGGGAGAAGGAATTCCATTAGCGAATGACCTCGGTATTCATCTGAGGCCACGTTTTATTATAAGAGATAATGTAAATTTCCTATAACCTGTTGTACTTTGTGTTTTATTTCAGGTTTGCAGTTTTGGCTTTTAGATGAGGTTTTGTTTGATTAAAAGCTTACTCCTATGATTTGGGCGTATTGTCACCGTTTCATTTTATTTATTAATATTAAGGCCTAAGACACTGGTGACTCTTAATTAGCATACAGAGTAGAAAGCTTATTTTATATATTTCCAAATATTCTCTATATACCCATTTTGAATTTGATACACCATCATCAGAGTCAAAGAGAAAGCTTTAGGGAAACATAAGATAAGGACAGTTAAATAATTTACTCACTTGCTATTCTTTTTTAGAATCAATTGCATAAGTGTATATAATAAACACACACACATTTTGCTTAGAAGCATTTCTGCTAACTCATCTTGATTTTCTAATATAGAGTATAGACTCTCAGACCCTTTTGAGGTTTGTACTGGTTCATTGGTTTCGGTTTAGCCTGACATCAAAGTACTTAAAAGGCCTGTTTCTCTCACCTGCTGACAGCTTCTGATTCCCTGGGCTTTTCTTCTCTAAAAGTACTAAAGGGAGAAGTGTTAGGAAAGAGGGAGGCATTGTGCTCCACTTTGATTATCTGCTCCTGGTTCCCTGTGGCCTTTATTTTATTAAGTAGAGAAGACAGAGAGAGAAAGATTTAATGGTAATGCCATTGAGAACAAACAAAGAGAAGCGGCTTTGTACTTTACTTGTTTTCATCTCCCTTGTCTCATTTATTGGGAGTTTCTGGCTAAGTAGAACTTGATTAAGGTAGTTAGCATTTCTTGTTTAATTAGGGAGCAGACAAATTTTAGGCTAAATTGTCTCAGTGACATGAAGGATCTGAAGATTTTACAGAATGATTCAGAAATAGAGCTTTTCCCAAACTGTCATCTTTTATGTAGATCTGATCATTTACACAAACCTTTATTAAGATTTTTTGTAGAGAGATTTGAGCCTGGTTCAAGATCCATTTTCATTCATTCAACAAATATTTGTTTTGTATGCCAGACCCTGTTGGGAACAAGTGATACAAGGTGAATGCACCCATTCCCTCACTTTAAGGAACTAAGAGCCCCATGTGAATGTAATAAAGGTTACGTTAGAGGGAAGTACTGGGTTCTCTAGAAACCCATGGGAAGGCATGCAGCTCAGCCAACTGTTAAGACAGCAGAGAAAGGCTTTCTGGAAGAGTCAATGCCTAAAATTAGCCCAAACGAACAAAAGTGGGAAGGGAGATCGTGGGAAGGAGAGTCCTGCAGACAGAAGGAATAGCACATACAGATATTCCGGGAAGGGAGAACCTGGTGCCTCCACCGTAGCTTTGGCACAAGATACAATCACGAGTGGTTAGGGAGGTAGGGCTCCAGGGAAGCCGGCTCAGGGAACTCCCAGTGCCACACTACAGATTTGTGCTTTCTTCTGAGACCATGGAAAGAAGAAAACAAAAGCCACTCCTCCCTGGGACCTGTGGTTCTACACGATCAACTCCTGTGACCTTCGCCCCAGCCCCACTGCACACCCCAGGCCCACTGTACTGCACACCCCAGGCCCACTCACTACACAGCCCAACCCCACTATACTGCACACCCCAACCCTACTAAACTGCACACCTCAGGCTCGCTGCACTGCACACCCCAGGCCTACCTCACTACACACCCCAGCCCCACTGCACTGCACACTCCAGGCCCACTGCAGACCCCAGCCCCACTGCACTGCACACCCCAGGCCTACTTCACTACACACCCCAGCCCCACTACACTGCATACCCAGGCCCATTGCATACCACAGACCCATCGCACACCCCAGCCCCCCTGCACTGCACACCCCAGGCCTACTTCACTGCACACCCCAGGCCCACTGGACTGCACACCCCAGCCCCACTGGACTGCACACTCCAGCCCCACTGCACTGCACACCCCAGGCCCATTGCATACCCCAGGCCCATTGCACACCCCAGGCCCCTGCACTGCACACCCCAGGCCCATTGCACACCCCAGCCCTACTGCACTGCACACCCCAGACCCACTTCACTGCATACCCCAGGCTACTTCACTACACATCTCTGGCCTACTGCACTGCATACCCCAGGCCTACTTCACTGCACACCCAGGCCCACTGCACTGCACACCCCAACCTTACTGCCTCCTGCAGCTAACTTTCAGCTCCCTCCACTCCCAACTTAGAGCCTTTGTACTTACCCACCTTCTGGTTGAAATAGTTTTTCTTCCAGATATCTTATGGTTCATGGTTCCTAAATGTTATTTTCCATGATACCTGGATGAAATTTTCCCTGGCCATATTAAATACAAATGTTCCCACATCCACATCACTTTAGACCTCCCTTTCCTGTTTTTTTCTTTAGTTTTGCCACTTGTTAATCAGTGCCATTATTTATAGTTTACTCAGCTGTCCTCTTTAGGGTTTCCTCTTCTAGAATGTACTTTCCATGAGGGAAGGGTTTCTTGTTCTGGTCGCAGAGCAGTGACTGGTACATAGTGAACATGTGTTGAATGAATGAGTGAATGAATGAATTAAATACTATTTGAAATTTCTAAATGTCTCTAGCTTCCTTTATTGTGAGAATGTCTCACCTGTGAATTGTATCAGTAAT